GGAAAGAGAAGGTAGAGCTGTATGTAAACCGGTATGTACTTATTGTCCTATAAGAGCATATTTAACAAAGAACATAAACAGAGCTGATTTTGTCTTTTTTTTCCAGCTTCCTCCCAGGAGTTGTACCAGAGCAGTCTCTCTCTACATCACCAGTAAAGAGACGCACTCAGTCTCTCAGCGCATTGCCGAAAGATGGAGACAAGAGCAGTCCTGGAAAGGTAACCTTTTCAATACTACTACAATACTAAAACATCGGAATCTAGATCTATATCTAATGCAGTATTGCTCTGTCTTTCTTGTTCATTCTTTCAGAGGGAGAAGGACCATATCCGGCGACCGATGAATGCATTTATGATTTTCAGCAAGCGCCATCGAGCATTGGTGCATCAGCGACATCCAAACCAGGACAACAGGACTGTCAGCAAAATTCTTGGGGAGTGGTGGTATGCTCTGGGACCCAAAGAGAAACAGAAGTACCATGACTTGGCCTTCCAGGTATGCAGATGCATTTGCAGACAAAAGAACCACATTTAATGATGGTTAATATATGAGCTAATGCTATTGTACTAACCTAATGTGCGTATGCTATATTTTGGTGTCCTTTTTTTAACCTAGTTTCTTCTCCTTGTTCTTTCTCCTGATCCCAGGTGAAAGAGGCCCACTTTAAGGCCCACCCAGACTGGAAGTGGTGCAACAAAGACAGGAAGAAGTCCAGCTCTGAAGGCCGTGGGGTCCCAGGGGGCAAAGACATCAGAGAGAGGAGCATGTCTGAGTCCACAGGTTGGTTTCACTTAGCTCTCATGATATAAAACAATTTTTTGCTGTTTACAGTATTCCTGTCCTCTCCAATCATTTAATGGCCCTCTGTTTGCACACTAATAGAGCCCCACTCTGTGGAACTGAAAGGGGTTGGCCCAGGTCTGGTAGGTGCATCCGAGCGGAGTGCAGGAGAAGGTCATGCAGGCCAGCTTACCCGTCCCCGCGCCTTCTCTCAAAGTGCTGTGCACAGCCTGGAGCGGAGTGACAGGGGTAACACACAGGCCCTGACAGAATTGGCACAGGTAGGAGAGCAGAAAAGCTCATAAACCCTGAAAGTTGAATTTCAATATGATGAGGCATATTGTAAACTGGAGACAGGCAGTGTGTAGTACTGTTTTTGTAAACATGATTTGATTAAAAATAAAGCTAAGCTCTGTGGCTGATTTGCTTTTACAAACACTCACATAAAATACTGTGCATTTGTCTGTGACAACATTTCTTATATTTCAGACAAATTATTCAAAGGCACACTAGCACATCTGGCAATTCACGCCCCTTAACCTGTTTAAAAGCATCTCTGCTATATGGCCTCTTACTTCATGATTTCAGATGTGTGGAGATGGAAGCAGTCAATTTTCAAGTCATGCTCCACCTCTGTCACATTCCCAGCGTGGTGTCAGTGAAGACATGACCAGTGATGAGGAACGCATGGTCATCTGTGAGGAGGAGGGAGATGATGATGTCATTGGTAAGATATCAGGCATACTCTACTCATGAAGCTATATTTTAGATTAGAGATATTATAGTGTTAGTGCAGTTTCCAATGTGAAATTCTCACAGTGGGATACTCAGTCAGGAGTATTGTTTAAAATGACTCCAACTAGTTTCTTTTCAGCCACTGGCCACTAGTGGGATGGAAAACTGATACCATAAATCTCCTACACACTCTTTGTCCCTCCTACCACATCCTATTTCTGAGCAACAGCATAACATGTGGATACCTGGTCACTACAAACTGTACAGAATGCAGCTGCCAGTCCATGGCTAGTGTTGGCTCACTAATGAGTAAATTTGTCAATCCAGTAGAACCCTCTGGTTACTCCTAATGTGACACAAAGCACTAATGTTACACAAATCTTGAAATATTCCCAAGTTTAAATCATATAAATTCAATACAAAGGTAAACCCATGCCCATGCTAACATCACCAAAGATGGAAATGCATCCAGAAGGAACAACGCCACATCTGAATAAAGTCTGAGTCCTTTGACTGCTTTTAATGCTCTCCTCTGGTTACTCCTAATGTGACACAAAGCACTAATGTTACACAAATCTTGAAATATTCCCAAGTTTAAATCATATAAATTCAATACAAAGGTAAACCCATGCCCATGCTAACATCACCAAAGATGGAAATGCATCCAGAAGGAACAACGCCACATCTGAATAAAGTCTGAGTCCTTTGACTGCTTTTAATGCTCTTCATCTTAGAAATCCACATTGGTGTTAACCATGGTTTTTGCTCTTTTGTTGTCCTGCTCTCTCTGCAAAAGAGTATGATCTCTTTGGTGTGGCAACCACCGTCTTGGACTTTTAGCTGCCAAGAAGCTTTCCATGGTTGGATGTTTGAAATGACTACTTGTGGTTAGAATAATGCTTCTTATAACCTTCACTAGGGGCGGGCAGGCCATATTTTGAAATCATGGGGTAGTGAAGGTGGAATAACAACAGAAGGGCTGTAGGCAGCAGTGTATCATGGAGGGGGTTAGGATAGCGGAGGGATGTCCTGCCACATTTTCATGTCAGAAAATGTGTAAAAATTATAGTTAATGCACCTTTAACAACAGTAAAGATGCCACTGTGTCACTTTGGCATGGTTTGTTCCTCACTTCCTAATTTAGATCATAATGTGGCTAAACAGTGTTCAGTTTTTGACCACTTCCATGTTTCAGTTTTATACATCTCATGATCTGATGGCGCCGAGTCAGTCACATATGCTATGTTCATATCACACTGTTTAAACTGTAATTAAAAGCAGCCAAATGGAAAAATGTTCACATTAGAATGACGCATAAACACACTCAAATCAGAATAATGGGTATTTTTGATGGTTTCTCCATTCTATCAACATTGTTTGAATGCAGCATTAGTTCCTCCTGACTTGACTGGGTTTTAATAAGTTGCAAGGAATGGCAAGTGTAACTCATGCTCATTTTTAAGTTTGATCATTTTTGACAAATGCAACAGTATTTGTGGTGTCTTATAAGCCAGTGTGGGCTTGGCACTTACGTGTGCATTACATAAATAAAATTGCACTGGACTGGAGTTGTAGTGTATTTGCTTTTTCCCCCACAGAGGACCCTTATCCTAGCAGTTCCATAGACCTCAAATGTAAGGAGCACGTGACTGACAGTGATAGTGAGAATGGCTCTGGAGATGAAAGTGATCAAAAGGTAACATTATTTGTCTTGCTATTTATCTTTTTACTTTATCACATACAGGTTGATTTGTTACTTGAAAGTAGCTAATTTCTCTGCTATCATTCTTTTCTGAAAATATTTTTCTGTCATCCTCTTTAGAGAGTTTTTGCGCCAGTTATTTGCTCCACTACATCATCATCTTCCTCACACAATACCCCTCATGGCAGGAGTGCGTCACTGTCCTCCTACCCCACCAGCAAACGTTATGATGAGGGGAGATCAGGAGGTGTAGGGTTTTCAGATCATAGGAGGAAGGAAAGAGGAGAGGGAGAGGGTAAGGATACATTTGGAGGAGATGGAGGAGGGGGAGTGCAAGCTCTTTCTCTCTCCCTCTCTTCTAGCCAGTCAGTCATCTCCACGTCTCCAGCTGGAGGGCCTCCGTCCTCATCAGTAGGGTCACTTGGTGCAAACCCACTCCTGGGCATTGGCGCTGTGAGGGTGGCCTCTACAGTGGTGACCAATGTTATGCGTCCTGTTATCAGTACACCACTCCCCATCACCAGCAAACCCAGAGATGGAGGCACTTCTTCCAGCCCACATCCTCCAGAGAGGAAGTCTCTGACTTCCCAGGGGCAGACACAACTTCTGATTGGTTCAGGGTCAGGAGGCGGGGCAGCAACCACCGGGGGTGGGTACTATTCTTCATCATCTCCTAATCCTGTAGGTGGAGGTGTGGGCCCAGGTGGTGTAGTGACTAACTTGGTTTTAGGAGGAGCTCTGACTGCTCAATCTGCTGTACAGCTCATTACCCCCTCCCCCCAGCCTCAGCCCTCCCAGCAGCAGGCCCTTCCTTCCACCACTGTTTCAGCACTGCACAGCCAAACCAATGGGCCTCTGCCTCTTCCCCTGCTTCAGCCACAGTTCCTTCCTGCTTCCTCCCTGGCACCCCCTGGGAGTAAGGCCATCACACAAGTTCAGTACATCCTGCCCACCCTACCTGCTAGCACCAACCCAAAGAGTCCACCTCAGCAGCTCAACCAGCCAACCAGTATCTTGCACCTGCCCACAGCTCCACCCGCACATGCGTCCTTGGCCAATGGAAAGCAACAGGGTACAAGTTCACTAACAGGATATACATCCAGCCCTGCAATGGGAGTGGTCAGCCCAGGAACTAGAGGTGAGAGCTTCAGATGAGCAGTCATGACAGTAAGGATCTTTTCACATACAGAATGACATGGGGGGAAAAAAATATACAAAATAGCACATTTTTTGGCAATTTAGATGCACCAAATATATTCATGCCAAATGAGATGAGAATATGGAATATGAAGTTCTAAAAGGTTGCGCTACAAAAGTCCACAACAAGTGATGAAGACCTGCAGGTGCTGGTTCTACTAAATACAAGGAGTGCATCCTATATTGGTAAAAATGCAACTTGGAAAGTTTCACTGTCTGGTGCAGGGTTTAAAAACTGTACCCTGGTTATTTTTGGAGCTACATTAGGATGTCTGTGGGACAATTTGAGGGGTTGTTGCTGAAGCTGCTGCACTTGAAGAAACGAAAGAGCAGTTAAAATGAACTGATCGACCAGGATTAGTGCCTGGCTATATGTCTGAGGTAAAATATATACTGAACATGACTTTAATAAATAGGTTTAGCTGATGGTGCACAATGCACTTGTGGTAACAGTGCTGCAAGTTCCAGCAAGGTGCATCGTGATTGGCCACAGGTATTCATGTCACCAGAGAAAAGTTGAAAAAAAAAAAATCAACTTTGGGGCAAAAAATATATAAGTGCCATTTTGAAGGGTTCTTTGACAGAATATTGGATTGAAAATTACTATTGATGTGAATTTTTTTTTTTTTTTAAGCCAGGAGAATTCACTTCTAGTGTGAAAAAGCCTTAAGGCAAAGTATTTGGGATATGACAAAGCCTTAGGTACATATAGCTAATAATCTCTAGTGACACCTAATGAAATGTTCACTGGCCCACTCTCTCTGTCTTTGCTTTAGTGCAAACACAGTCTCCGGTGCTCCAGGGTAAAATGCTTGTTCCCATGGCAACAGTACGGACTGCACCAGCTGCTGCCCAACAGTTTCCCATTGTGGGTCCACCACTTCCTGTGCAGAATGGTGCTCAGACCGGAAGCAAGGTCAGTAAACAGTTAACTGGAGGCACTAACAAATTTTCTCCATCTTGTTAGACACCAGCTAAATCATTAGTTCACCACTTGGACTCCTCATTCATAACTTTGTCCTAGTCATTTCTTTATGGTTTCCTCTTCAGATCATCCAGATTGCTCCCATGCCTGTGGTCCAGTCCCAGCTGCCTCAGGGTGGAGCAGTGCACCCTGCCAGCCCCTTCCCTGTAACAGTGGGCACAGCTGCTGTGGTGGCTCCAGGATCAGCCCCCTCACAGGCTGTACTACTGCCACCAGCACCGACCAGGTAGGAAATAACACACAAACTGCAATAAGAGAATGAAAATGGATTCTATAGCTCGTGAATCTACACCACCATCCTTTATGTGCTTTTGCTTCTGCACTGGGGCATCCACTGCTGACTTAATAACTTGACACACAAGAATACTGTGCCAAATAACAGTTTCCATTAACTATGGGCTTATAATTTGTGCTGATGTGGTAAGCGTCAACACTTTTGTTCTCCACAACAAACAAAACTAAGAGACCGGATAAGTGTTCAGTTATCAAAATTGACAGTGAAAAGCTTTTCTGCAGTTTTCTTCGCAGAGACCATTTTTATTTTCATTAGACTAAACCAAAACTCAGAAAAACAGCCTTTTCAAACATGCACTTCCCCTGGTTTGCAAAAATATTCTTTCCATAAATGTAACTCTGGCACATGCGTTCCTAATTTTAAAAAACACAGTGATAGTATAACACCTCTGTGCTTGCTGTTATTGTCCTCTTCATCAGACCTGTGGCTTCTGCACTAGCCGGCTCCCCCACCGCAGCATGTTAGCTGCTGTCCTCCTCCTCTTCTACAGTACGTCTCTCTTTTCAGCTAATCACACTGGTTGGACTGTTCCACTTTCCCAAGTGTGTTTTCTGAAGTATTTAACATGAACCTTTTTTTTTACTGTTTTGCTCATACCGCTGGTCCAGACTGCCACTGTGCTTCATCAGCCCTTTTGAGTCTAGGAAAATATTTTTCAGTATTCCTTTAGACAGAGGGAGCAAGCATTCAGCATGAGCGTTTAAGAATTAACATTAACTTTATCTAGTTGCAGAGCAGTCCACGTACATCCATGCTATGCAGCATGCTAACCTCAGCAACAGCAGTATTCTAACTTTAGTTTAGCAAGCCTTACTAGCTTGTTATTAACTTAACAGAAGAGTTGGTCTCTGCTCTTCACAGCATTGAAAAGAAGGTTTTTAGGTATTGCCCTTCTCTTTGTGACACGTTTGAATCTGCATGGGACATTTTTTAATGGAGGTCTGTGTGTGAAAGTCAAAAGCAATGCATTCTTCACTAGATATATGAATTCAATGATGGGAAACAAATAAAGCAAGTAAACACATAAAACTTTACTCAGCTCTGACAAACAGGGTCAACATGCCAGCCTCACTCATCCTACCCTGGACTGCTTTTTGCAGTAGTTACTCCTTTCCATTATCATCAGTTTCTTTCAACTTCATTGATAATAGTAATTTTTTTGTTTGTATGAAATGAAATAGGTTGATGACTTCCATGAAAGGAGGAGTTCTAAAGCACAGCCAGATGAAAAGATGGACCAGCACCATTATTAGCTTTCTATTGAAACTTCTTTCAGTAAATGGTTGAAGGCAAACCACCGGAATCTCATTTCAGAACTTCCCTGAAATGAGTAAACGTGACTTATACAGCAATAATTCCTTAGCAACTATTTTGGACCTGAATAAATTGGGTGGACGTGCACAAAATGTTTCTGTACCGGAGAATAAAAACCAATCTGAACCACTGGACATATGAGAAGAGGCTGTTCAGCCATTTCGAACAGAATGAAATACCTTCTCAAATGGGCCAGTTTATTCTTGTTGAGGTTTTAAATGAGGCAGTTTTATTCTGGGTGGACGTTTATTATGATTAATAATAAACTAAAAAGATACACAAACGCAATGAAGCATTTCCTGATTACTGTTGAACATGTGTAATCAAAATAAATATATTGTCTGGTGTATGGATGGAAATAACTCCAGCCATGTTCTGTTGCATTATAGTTTTAAGGTGGTATAAATAATACAAAGCATTAGGAAGGTGCATTATCCTGCAGTTTGTAGCAAGCAGACAATATGAAAGTCAAAAACTTCAGCAGGGGTGCAGCTTTAGCAGGGCAGCTCTATTCTGGATGTGTTAGTCATGGAGCCGGTGGTCCAAGTTGCCTCTGCTTGCTGCCCCCACACTACCTCTCAGCTTCTAGCGCACACACATAAATATAGCACCAGTCATCCAGTGTTGCTTGCTTGGATGTACATTCACCCACTGACCCTCACTGCAGCACTTTTCTTTTTGTCTTCCTCTTCTTTTTCTGATCATGTATCTGCTCCCACCCACCTATTCTGCCTCATTATTATACCTCAGTACCTTATGACACCACCACTACACCTTTCTCAATATTTTTCATTACACAAATATCATCTTCCTGTCCTGTCTCTCTGACCTCTACATTTTGATTTTTATTCCTCATATTTTTCTCCTCTTGTTTCTCCCATTCAGGATCACCTATGTCCAGTCCACTCCAGGGGTCTCATCCACTCTGCCTCTAGTCTCCACAGCAACAGGCTCTTCCCCCACCCAGCAAGCTCTGCCAGTGCCTGGATCTGCATATGTTCCTTCGCCCCTGGCAACACTCGGGTTCACAGCCATCGCACCACCTGGACAGGCACTTGTTCAGCCACTGGTTGCAGGTCAGTGATGTGGAGAGCTTAATTCATAACTTCTGTAATTTATATGCTGATTCTGTCTTTGTATTATATGAAAGGGGCTATATGAGCAGTGTTAGGCAAATGGGTTTTGGGTCAGATTTGGTCTTCCAACAAAAATATTTAACCCCCTGATATATTTTGAACTTTTTCCTTTCATATTTTGCATTAAAATGTATGTTTTGTATAAATCTTACATAAATAACAATGTAAATACAAGACTAATAGATTTGCAAAGTGGGATGAGCTATTCAGATGGTCCTGGTTCCAGAAGAAAAAGTCCCATTTATTTTTTCCAAAGAAAATGTTACATGACTCACAGTTGGAGCATTTTTATGGCTTGGAGCAGTGTGAAACTTTCCCTGATCAGTCATCAAGTCAAATGATTCCAAAATATCTTGTTCTTACTTAAAAAGTCAAAGGTAGCTGCATCCTAAACCCCTAGAGCATCCTAAATCTATAGATTATATATCACATATTAACCATCCTAGTAAATGGTTTTAACAAGTACTATTTTAAAACATCACTATTTTGTAGTAACAGGAAATTATGCAATAAACACAACTTCTGGAAAATTTAATATTAACTTTTTTGTTTTTAAGTTGTTTCACCACCAATCTGTAATTTATTTTTACTTAGTTTAAAATTTGCATCATCTACCAGTGCTGACTATTTATTTATGTAAACACTGGTTTGAGTTTACTTCATTCTCTGTTTTTTCAATGGGAACACACAACTGTACATACTCATAACTACCTTAGAATTAGCATGTAGTATGGCTTTAAACATGTCTCGTTCTGTGCCAGCTGAACACTGCATGGTGCTAAAATGAAAAATATACAGACGAACAGTGTAGATGAATATAATACACTTGTTTTAAATGAATCAGGTTTTGTGTGAATCCGGACACAGTTCATAACTTTGGCTTGTTTGACCAAAACATTTGTCATTCAACCATATATGACGTGGGCCAATGTTTATCATCTGTCAGTAGCCTGTTAGTTACATTTATAGCCATGTAATGCTACAGAGAACATTTGTTTTCATAAACAGTATGAGTCAGTTTTGCCAAATGATCAGTAAGACAAGCAGCTTTAATTGCTGACCCATGAACTACAGTTTCAACAGGCCAAATGTGACTTGTTAAGTACCTCACACTATTTTAAAAGCTCAATGATTTTCATGTGAGAGTGTTACAGATCATGACTGAGAGTGTTTTGAAAATGACAAGAATTTCTGGTCTCTTGGGTCTGGTGTCTCCTTCATCCAGGTCAGCCACCGCTCCTGGCCACAGCTCAGTCTCCGCAGCCCTCCACTTCAGCCCCTGCCTCAGGCTCTGGGACTCAGATAGTCACCGCTCTCTACCCTCCTTCACCTAGCGTCACTATGGCAACAGGGGTGGTCTCCATGACAGCAGTGCCTCCCAGCGTGGTCTACTCTGTCTCCAGTCCTTCCAGTGCTTCCCCTCACATCCTGCCCAAACACACACCATCTCCTGCCACAATCACGCACCCACATCCAGACAGACAGGCAGACAGACACCTGCCTACGGACAGACCTGCAGATGGACAAACTGACAGGCAGTCTGAGAGGCAGACAGATTTGCTGACGCATTTAGACAGACAGCTTGAGAGGCAGATGCAGACCTCCAGCAGTAGTAGCTCAGTGGCACCACCCAGTGGCTCAGCTGTGTCCATAAGGGCCTGCAGTCCTCCGCTTCAGATCCAAACACCTGGTGCGGCTGCATGTATTGTTTTTAACCAAGACTAAAGTCGAGTTTTTTATTAGTAATTAATTATTTCACTGATAATCAAATGTGTTTATCTTTCAGGTAGCACACCAGGTACACCCAAACTAACTCCACTTCCAGTCAGAACACCTCAGAAAGTGAAGGCAACAGTGGCAAACATCCCTGTAGGCAGCTATGAAGGAGGAGGGAGAGGAAAGGAGAAAGAGCGGGATAAGGAGAGGGAGCGAGAGAGAGAAGCTACAGCCAACAGTCATTTCTCCTTTGATCCTGAGCCAGCAGGCCAGACGAGGTCTCCTTCAACACATCCTGCTGAGGATCTGCCGTCTTCTGACAGACACCTGGAGGGTGCTAGCGCAGGGGATTCCTCTGACACAAGGAACAGGGAAAGCACAAGCACCAAAGAGGTGAGCAACATCACACACTGGCTTTCAGCTCAAATAATATCTGAAAAAGCTTCCGCTTGTTGTTGACACATAACATCTCTGTGCAGGCTGGATGGAAGGAGTCCCTCCCCTCCTCTCCTCTCCCACCTCCATCAGCCACAGAGCCTGTCCTGCCTCCTCCACAGACTGATAAAGATGGTCCTACACCCAAAAAGGTCAAAGCTCGCCCACCACCACTCAAGAAGACTTTTGACTCTGTGGACAAGTGAGTTAACACCTTTGTGAATCTTTAGAGTAAGGTCAGAGAAATGATTGCTGGAAAGTGTATATATACTGTGTATTGTGTGCGTGTGTGTTGGTCTGGCAGGGTGCTGTCAGAGGTGTATTTTGAGGAGCGGTTTGCCGAGCTGCCAGAATTTCGCCCTGAGGAGGTTTTGCCTTCACCCACGCTGCAAAGTCTGGCCACTTCACCCCGTGCCATTCTAGGCAGCTATCGCCGAAAGAGGAAGAACTCTACAGGTCTGATTATAAAGACTACGTATTTCATGATACACTGACTAAATGTTTTTGTACTTGTATCTGTAGTGGAGCAGCTGGCATGAGCGACGGTGTTTATTAACGCACTGTTAGAACTATTTCTGCAATGTTAGAAATGCAATGTTAATGTGCCTAAGAGATTTCTGTGAAGGATCCTGATGAGTAGGAAGATATTTATATCTGTTAATATTACTGTTGATTCATTGTTTATAGTGAATATGAAAGTTATTAGTTTCAACAATAAAACCATAGTCTCAAATAGTATTGTCAACACATTTTCAGTTTGGCAAAGGCTGTACAGTTTGTTGATATTTAGAACCTCAGTTTAATGTTTGTTTCCTGTATGTGTTTCTAGATTTGGACTCAGCAACTGACGATCAAGTCTCTCCTAAAAGAAAGAGTCGGCGGCGCTCAAGCTGCAGCTCAGAGCCCAATACGCCTAAAAGTGCTGCCAAGTGTGAGGGAGACATCTTCACTTTTGACCGAGCAGGTAATACAAAGAAAAGCAAGAGTATGCCACGCACAGAGATAGTTATCCTTTATAAATGTCTTTAAAGTTTGTTTATGGTAGGATCTGTATAGTATTAGCGTAGAATGAGGGGTTTGCATGAAGGGAGCGCCCATGTTTGAGTGTTTGTCTTTTGTGTCTTAATGATGTCACACTTAATGTCACGTTTTCATTTTTTTTTTTTTTAATTAAATGTAGTGATACTATATTAGGCTACTTCTGTGCTGTTCATATGACTTGTCCCTCCTAGTGGGTTCTCTCACAACAGCAGCATGTTGGCTTCTGCCCTTCTCCTCTCCTAACGTACATCCCTCTCCTCAGCCATCTCTTCCTGACCCTCTCTTGCTGCTTCAGCAGCACCGGTAAATATTCTGAAAGAAATCAACTGGATCGCTAATCACACTGATCGGACTGATCAGCTTTCCAGCATTTGTCGATATTCCTCTGGTCTGAGGAGGCAAACATTCAGGGTCAGAGTTGATGAACTAGCATGAACTTGATCTAGTTTGTATGTATGTGAGAGAGAGAAACAGCATGGCACGGAGGGACCGAGCAAATACATGCGCTATGCACAGAACAGCATTGAAATGAGATTTAACCGATGCTTTTTAAATCGCTATGTGGCGGTCAACAGTGGCGATGGTGGTGCAGTGGATAGAGCAGTTGTCTCCCAACCAGAAGGTTCAAGGTTCGAATCTCGGTGTCTGCAGTCCACATGTCGAAGTGTCCTTGGACAAGACACTGAACCCCCAAGTTAACCCATGATGGCAGCGCTTATGCATGCAGTGGCCCGGGTCCCCTTGGCTCCAAACAAAATTTTGTTGTATGTGTCAAAATGTTGCAACGACAATAAAATAAAAGCTTCTTCTTCTTCAATGTTGATATTGAGACAGCACGCCACAGATTAGTCTGTGTATGGGGAAACACTGTATACATAACATTTAAACTCTTCTGAGTGAAAACAATGAGAAACTGGGTAACAATACAAAGATGCTTATTTGTCTTTTTTGAAAGTCCAAATGATTATGGTGCATTACAAAGCTATAATTACAGTACAAAGTTATAATTCTTACTTTTTTCTTTGTCTAACAAGAAATGTTTACATGTTAGGAAGTCTTAAGATTTATTTTTGTCAAACTGGTGTTTGTATTTGGGTCAAATAGGGGTCGCTTTTACACACTGCTGTATCCTGCCTTTTGAACTGTTTCAAATATGGGGCCTAAAGGGACATAAATAAAGCTGTTCATGATCGCAACCAGTTTCCTGACTACTTAACCACTCCACCTGTTTGTCCCCTGTCCCAGCTACAGACAGTGAAGACATCCTGGCAGAACTGGAGTTTGATAAGGTGCCGTACTCTTCCCTACGACGAACACTGGACCAGAGGAGGGCACTGGTCATGCAGCTGTTCCAGGAGCAGGGCTTCTTTCCATCAGGTAAACCAGAAACACACACCCTGTAGTTTTCAGAAATGCATTTTCCCACTAGTAGACATTGACTTTTTTTTTTGTCCTGCTCCCAGCTCAAGCCACTGCAGCCTTCCAGACGAGATACTCCGACATATTTCCCACAAAGGTGTGTCTGCAGCTGAAGATCAGGGAGGTCCGGCAGAAGATCATGCAGACAGCTGCTCCCTCTGATGCCTCTGGTTTAGGTGTCTCTGAGTCAACCAGCTCTCTCCCTGGACCTTCTGGGTCTCAGTCAGGGGAGGGATCTGGGAGAGGAGGTGGGGACCTGCAGGATGAAGAAGGTGAGCACAGGACAGAAGCAAGCCCAGAAGATCCTCGGGATTCACAGGACTCTTCTAGATGAGGGATGCTGACATATTAGATTGACCAGTCAGTGGCTGCTGAAGTCACACCTTTTTACCCACACACGCTTTCATGTTTTTTATACACACTCGTAATTCTCTGATCACATCATTTCTTTCAATCCCCACCAACCACCTTTGGAGTGAGAGATGTTTGTATGCAGTGTTGGGACTTTTTTTTGTAGGTGTAGCCCTTGTATCAAAAAAAGGACATTGGATATCCAGTGGCACAAAAATGACTGAATACCACAATGCACATACTCACCCTGCAAACTTTTAAATTCCCACACTTGAATTAGCACTATGTATTAACCACCCTGGAGAAAGCCCCCGTTGACGCCAGTGAACGAAGGATTATTGTATACAGCTGCATTCATTTGCCTTGAATAAGAAAGGGTTCTAGTTTTGGACACAGAGACCTGCTTAACCCCTTCTGAGACTGTGAAAAGTCAGCAGTTTTGAAAAGAGGACATATGTTTTGATATTGTTTTTATTATGGTTAGAGGAGCGAAAGCCGTAAGCATCTGCTAGAGGAACAACCTGTATGTATACTTAACTGTTGTTGTACTTGTCTTGTTTCTGCTGACATTCGAGGGCTGGGCCCTCAACAGCTGAAAATGATTTGATTTGAAAAGAGAATTCATTGCTATGGACCTGGAAAGATCATTTGTCCATTTTATTGTAGACCTTCAGGAGAGGTCTACCAAAGGTGACTGAAAAATTGACTGAAACTTAAGTGGACTTCTGGCAGTGCCATCATTCCTGCAATCACCTGTCTGGCCAGGTCCTCCCTTCTTGCGACTGACCCTAGCACATGCCAGTAGGTAGGAACCAAGCATTCCTGTGCCTCTCATTCGCGAATTACAAAGGAAGGAGGTGGGTCAGAGTCAACGGGCACATCCTGGCTCTCAGAGGTCAGGCTGTTAAGGCCTTAATCCTCTATTGCCAAGCGGTTTTATTAACTTTTTTAAAATAATTTGATTTATATTTAACATTTGTCATATTCAGTTTGTTGTTGTACTATTACTATGGTTATTATTACTCCTCATATTGCAATGAACCCTGATCCTTAGTTCTGCTCTCAGTGCTGTCAGATGTTTCCCTCATCTGATTTCTTGTACTAGTTTTTTTTTCCCTTTTTTTTTTTTTTTGTAATCTAATTTTGGAGGCAGGTGAGTGATGCTGCTCCATACCAGTTCCTCCATTGTAGTCTTCCCTTGACTGGCCTCTCACCTCAGCAAGGACCTGCGTTGTTTTTATTGTTATTTCAAAGAAGACAAACACAACCTGGACCTTTATATCCTTTCAACAGTAATAAGCCGTAGGTTTTTAGACAACCCTGTATGCCTCTTTGTCCCTCGCTGAGTTCTATACCCTCAACACTTGTACATCTCCTTCCTCCACCTCTTTCCTTCCCTCCTTCCTCTCTGTCACTTTATTGCTCTCTCCCATCCTCCTTTTTAGACAGGTGGAGAGAAAACCGGGGGAAGTGAGGGGAGGGTACCAAATCAAAGAGAGCTGGTAGGATATAATACTGGTTGTGTCTTTGTGCAAGACTCGGTTGTGTTGTAAATAATTACTGTAGAGTCGGTAGACTCCTATTATTGATAAGGAAAAATCCATCATTGAACCTAAGTTGACTTTTGAGACACCCATTACTCAAGACAAACACGTGAATGGGGGAAAAAAAAAACAATAAATATGGCTACTAATGTTTTTGTGTTATACTCCTTGTTTTGCTGTTCCAGTATACAAGAGAGGAATTTATATGAATAATTTAAGTTTGTATCTGTACCTTTACGTATGCAAATAGGTGTTCAATTAAAGTGAATTTATCGCTGGCAATGTCAAAAATTGGTTTTCCTTAAACAGCAATACAATACACCAATTCAATCTAGGACAACATCTGAAATGAAGCATAATTTTTGTCCCACTCTTTAAATGTAACATCAGCACATTAAAGTTTAGCTCAATCATCTCTGCAGCATACAAAGGTGACTAACAGGTCAGTGAAGTTTTATTGAATGAGACTGTGAAACAAATATTGATCATCTTGAAAAAACATTTACTGATTTCACTTATTTACAACAGAATACTTTGCTTCAACGGCACAACTAAACCTTTTAACAGAAGAAAAATCACCTCATGTAAATGATCAAATGAACTGTACAATGTCATCTGAGACACAACCGATGGCCCTTATTCATAGAGAATGCCACATCCTACATTTTAGTCTGCATCATTTCAAAACATTTAACACTGATCCCTCGTGTTTGTAAAGGAGGGAGGCTGGCATACTTTGGTCTGTTTTGAACATCATATATATTTTGTCATTCTTTTTCAGTACATACGTGCTTCTGGTAAATCATAACTGAATACCAATTCTCACAGTAGTCAGTCTTTGTTAAGACTAGTACTGAACTCATCCAATAGGCGATAGTGTTTTTGTTCACTTGTCCTCAGAGGAGCTGCAGTCCATCCACGGCAACTGTGTCCATGGCGAGGCCGTTCTCCAAAGCTGTGTGGTAGATCTCCAAGGCTTGCTCCAGAGGCAGCGCCCCTCCCTCACTGGTCTCAATGATAGCAATGGTCTCTCCGAACTCATTACACATGATAGTGCCCTGTGCCTAAGAGAGAAATCACAGTAAGTTCAACTAACAGCAAAGAATGGGTGCAGTCAAAATGACAGTTCCTATTAAATGTTATCCTCTCACCAATTTCAATGGTTTAAACTTAGATCAATAGGACTAAGCTTACTCTCCATACAAACCAGCTCATGTTAGCTTATTGCTTTCAAATGGCATGGTTTTTTTTTTAAGTGATGAAGTGACTTGGAGATCCATTCTGACCTGTTGAAGATCTGAGGCTTCAATCTGGATTAGCTGAGGCTGTTCATTATCTAGTTCCACTGCCGAAGTGTCCACCACTGCCACAGCAGAGCTGGTCTCCGCTGCTGCCTGAGCAGCAGCCTCTTCTTCCAGCCTCTGTTGCCTGGCATGAGTCTTTTTGTGGTTCCTCAGGTTGGAGAAAGTCTTGAAGGCTTTGCCGCACAGGGGGCAAACATGTGGCCGTTCGCCTGTGTGTGTTCGACGGTGTTCAGCTAGGTGCATACTCTGAATGAAACTCTTTCCACATAGTTCACAGCGAAATGGCCGCTCACCTGAGTGTGTGCGCAAGTGCTCTCGCAGATGTGTGTTCTGACGAAAGCGCTTGCCACACACTTGGCAGGGGAATGGGCGCTCACCAGTGTGGACTCGCTGATGAAGTGCAACTCCGGAGGAAGATACAAACAGTTTGCCACAGATAGGGCACTGATGCGCTTTAGGCCGCTTCCCTGAGGTGCACCGCGTTCGCCCAGGGCAGGCGAAGTGGCCCAGTCTGTGAAGTCGCAGATTGGCAGGAGAATTTAGCTTTTTCCCACAAATATTGCAATCCAGGGCTCCGCGTGCAAGACTGGCTGAATCCCTTGATTCTGTCTCTGCTATGGCTGAGATGGGGACCTCTGATGTCACACCTGTGCCCAACTCTGCATGGATGTCTGGCTCTTGGCCCACTTCTGCCCCAGTACCAGCCTGCACCAAGACAGGGTGCTGTTCCAGGCAGTGGCTGTCTCGTTGCCTCTTGGTCAAGAAGCCAGCCTCACAGTGGAGACAGGAGAAAGGAGCTGGTGCCCCTGGGTGTTGAGAGAAGCGGTGTGCCGCTAACTTAGTGGGCCAGCGAAATGTGGCGGGGCAGTCAGGGCAGCACAGTGTCACAGCACTGGAGTGCAACAGGCTGTGCTGACGGAGGTTGGAGGACTGGGAAAAAGAGCGTTGGCAGAAATCGCAGCGGTACGGGCGCACTCCAGAGTGGATGAGGTTGTGTCGCATTAGATTGGCTAAAGATGAGAAGGTTTTGCCACAGTCAGAACACTGGAAAGGCCTCTCGCCGGTATGTGTACGTATGTGATTGCGCACATGGATCTGCTTCTTAAAAGACTTTCCACAGATGTCACAGACAAAGCTGCGCTCAGGGACATGGGACTTGCGTCGATGGTGAACTAGCTGCAGCTGGGACGGAAAGGTTTTAGAGCATGAGCGACAAGAAAAAGCAATTCTGAATGAAGCTGCTTCTGTTGAGTCAGTGGAGCTAGATGTGACTCCTACACCTGTGTTATCCAAGGGTGCTGGGTTTGCCGCTAAGTCAGACTTTACTGCATCTTCCACCTGCTGGGAGTTATCAGTGGTGCATTCAAGTGGGACAGACATCTCCTTGTTGTCATTCTCTCCCTGCTTATCCACTTCACCCCCTTCCACTTTACCCGGAGAACTTTGTACTGGATCTCCCAATTTTTCCATCTCTTCCTCTGTGAGAGGGGCCATCATGTTGGCCTCATCAGTGTGTGAATTCCTCTTCTCTCTAGCTCTCTGTAGGATGGCAAGAGCAGAGAGAGATGCTCTTCTTGGAGCTGAGACCTAAAAAAGACAAAAGGTATTTGTTAAACTGAACTCTTAAGGTTGTGGACACAGTTGGGAGATTGAAATACTTATATTATTACCATAGAAACGGGCGTGGGTCGGTCAGATGAATCACGGTTGAGGTGGGTCCGACGGTGGTAGAGGTACTTGGTCATGTTGGTGAAGGTTTTGCTGCAGAACTGACACTTGTGAAGGGGGTCTGTAGTGTGGGACTTCCTGTAAGAAACCAGGAGAAAAAGATGAAACAGACAAAAAGATTCAAAAATTCATATCAGCTTGTCAGTTTCTCATTATTCTCTAGGCTGCTGTGGTGTCTCTGAACCTTTTACCTGTGCATAATGAGAGTCATCTCAGTGGTGAAGCCACTGCCACAGTCCACGCACAGGTACCTGGCCACGCCTGAGTGAGTACGCATGTGTGTCTGCAGAGATGCTGCCTTCTTGAACACCTTGCCACATTCTGGACATTCATGTGTGCCCTGTTCATGCACACGTCTGTGAGCAGCTAGCCGGTTGATGGAAGTGAAGGTGCGGTTGCAGATGTCACAGCGTTGTGGCTTAGCCCAGATTGCTGCTTTTTTTTCTGCTTCTCTAATCCTAATGTCCTCCACGTTCTCTGTGATCTCTTCCCTTCCTCGCACTTCCTCAAAACCACTCATGACCCCCGACTCGCCACTCTCTTTGTCCTGAGCCAGGAAGTGCTCTCCCTGGTGCTGGAGGAAGTCCTCTGGGGTCTGGAAAAGCAGGGAGCACTCTGAACACTCATAAGGGTGGATGACCACCACCTCTGTTTGCTGCTGCTGGGTGTTATCCTGAAGGTTGGGGGCCAACCTCAACTCCAGTCTCCTGACCCCGTTCTCCAAGACGTTTAGCTTTGCTGAGGAGCCTCGGCCCACAGCAGACAACAGAGGGGGTAGCTTGGAACGCCACGGACTGGGACTGATTGAGGTGTCTGCCAGGGCTTGAGCTGTAAGAATCTGCAGGTGCATGGTGGCAGAGCCGGGAGTCGGCGTCACAGGAGGCAGCAGGGAGGGGCGAGAGGGTGCAGTAGGTTTAGAGACAGACTGACATTTCTTCTGTTGTTGCTGTTGCTGCTGGGCAAGTACCTGGAAAATACACACAATATATATAAAAATGAGCTTTAGGAGAGTAAAACTTCAAAACCCATCAGGCATCTGCTCTGTTGTGGTATTCAAATCTGAGTACCTGTGCCAAGATCTCCCCAGCCTGTTGCTCACTTAGCACATAGTTCTGCACATTGTTCAGTGGAGTGATCGTGCCATCAGGCTGTAGCAAATATTCCTGTTGCAAGGAAAAAAACAAACAAACAAAAAAACACTGGTTATCATTTGTTAAATTATAAATAACTGTGACACAAAAAAGCTTGTATCTTAGTATTTAGGACTTAATGTCACAATCAATTCAATAGAGATTATCTTAGCATCTCAGACTGATCCCTTACTGTGGTCTCAGTGTTACTGTGAGTGCTGCTCCTGCTGTGGGTCCGCCGGTGCTCCAGCCAGGTCTCAGCTGAGTTAAACAGAGCCAGACAGTCAAGACACTGATACTGAACCGGACCTGATGTCTGAGCCTCTGACCCGTCTTCCTCTGTCTCCAGGACCTCACATATCTCTGGAGATCAGTCAAACACACACAATATGTTGTTTCTTAACCACAGCCACACAGATGACAAAAATGTTGAATGAACACCTTAAATGTGAAAACATATTCTGCGGCAGAAAACTGACAACTGAGTATGACAAAATGACGTTTTACTGAGAACCGTTTGCGTCCTGTCACAAGGCCACATTATTAACCGGTACAAATGGATTTCCTGATAAAAATACATCAGTTCATTTCCACAGAATAACATCAAATAATTATCAACAGTACATTATTGATATCTCACCACATTCCAATTTCTCTTGCCTGCTCAAAACATACTAAAATCAGTGTCACCTTGTTCCACCTCCATCCCGGCCTCCCTCATGTGCATCTCTTGATGCTGCAGCAGCTCCTCTGGGTTCACAAGGATGGCCCCACACTCCAAACACTGGTACTGCTGGCTCTGCCCCATCTCTGGGACACCCTGGATGGTCACTGCGTCCCCTACCTCCCCTTCTCCATCTCCCTCTTGGCCAGTATGTATCTGTTGGTGGATCAGCACATCCTCGAGGGTGTTGAAGAGCTGCTGGCACTCACTGCACATATACTGGTGCGTCACATACTCAACTTCTGCCTCTTCCTGTTGCTCAGCCATGCTGGTACTGTGTGTGTGTGTGTGTGTTTTTATGTAAATTGAAAGTGTATCATGAAAAGGAATGTGTGACAGGTGTGAAACTTCACCGCTGTGCTCAATGAATGAAGACTACTTTTGTCATCGAGAAGGCCAGTATGGTACATGCCTGAAATAAACAAAAAAATGACATCAACAACTGAATAATATCAAGACAAAAATCAGCAAATATATAATAGCCATAAAATGACTGAAACGTTTTTCGCACAACGATATATCTGCCATTCATTTCTTAGTTTATAGTCTGTTTCTTACAATAAAAAGACAGCAGTGTTCACAGAGATATAATAAACCCCACGGACAAACACCACAATTTTCATCCGTTAGCCAAATGAAGGCCGTCTACTGCTAGCAATACAACCACTACTCAGAATAGGCTAGTGAATGTATAATTGTCCTACATATGCGTTTCATATATTTGTTTACAGTGTGTGATGGCATATGGAGAGCTGTTGGCGGCGCTCCCTCCGACACTGAAGACCTGTTTTTCGACACCGCGGTTTCCTTACAGCGGCTCCCGGGTTCGTTGGCGGTCCGTCAGGCGGCGCTACCCACTTTTCCCCGAAGCTCTCCGGCTACGACGGTGGGCCCTTCTTTCCACTTACCTCTCATTTACTCTCGTTGGATAATCACTCGTGTAGTCATCGCTCATCGTTCACATTAGCATGCGCTTTATGCCAGTCCCTCGTCACCATTTGTGGCGTGAAAAAAAATTAAGTGTCCGTGAGAAATAAGATTTCAAAGCGTGTGAGGAAACGTTTACCCACCGATAGCCTCCATTCTCGTGATACGTAGCCCCGCCCAGTGCGGTAACTTCAACGTTTCAGATTCTGCAATTGGACAGGTTGACTGTAAATCATAGAGTTTTCTTTACTGATGGGAAATGTAGTTTTTTGCCATCACAGTACAATGATATTTTGCTTTTACACCTAGACCTTTTTGTTTTCAACTGTTTGTTTATGAGTTCTGTAATATTACTTGGATACTTTGCCTATTTTGACAGAATTTATATTTGCACTGTACAAACTAGCTAAGAGAGATGCAGTTTCTAATTATTTACCAGATTAGGAAAATGTGTTTTCGGATAGATAATTTACAATTATGGATGTAAAATCTGGCCTATCATAAGATTGATTGGGTGCGATTTTTAAAAAAGACAAACAAGACATTTTCCCATTCCAGAGGTAAAACATACATTCTGGGAAATACAAAGGCCGATAGATACGTCCCAAAATCTCTACAAATTTGATCATTTCACGATGAACAAGTTTAACACATAAAACACAAGTAGTGGTTGGCAATGGTTTTAACAAATCTAGTTAAGAAATGATAAGAACGATATAATCTGAGTCAATTCTAATGATGCTTCCTTTATTTTATTATAGTTCATATATTTGTGAAGCAATGGCCACTTTTGCGAAAATGCTGAGGACAAAGTTTGCAGTGAGCAGTGACATAAAATTCAACGTCATACTTTAGATATTAGGCAACTCAGAGAGACTGTACGTAACGACACGAGCAATCGAAGCCCGCAACAACTCGGTTTCCCATTAACCTTGCGAGCTTTACGTACTTGTGCGTCAACTCCCCAGTCCCCCCACCGTCACTGTTCTACAGAGGAAGAAAGGGGGAGACGGGCAACCTGTAAAGAACGTTGTAAGTGTAGTTTTTATTTATATCGAATATTAAAATACATATTTACAGCTTAGGTCTGTGCCGGCCTGGCTGCTAATAACGTTCAACTTTGCCCCGGCTTTAGTTCACACAAATATGAGCGGCAGCGGGCGGCCCAGGACCAGCTCATTCGCTGAGCCTCCCGGAGCTCCCGGATCCGCTGCAGCCGGTGCCGGATCAGCAGTAGCCGGAGGAAGCTCGACAGGAAAAACTGGGGCTTCTCAAGCCAGCGGAAGCAGCTCGACGGGCTTTGGGAATTTGAAACTGCCTAGTGGGTATTGTTTTATATATCTCTTAGCCCAATTTACATGTTATTACAAAGACTCGGGCTGTGAGTTATTTTAAAGAAATGTACTGGAGGGTATTTAATGTCGATCATTGTCAGGGAGCTAATCTTAGCTAGCAAGCTGTTAGCTTGTTAGCTAATGCTAGCTGTTTTTCATTAATGAACCTCTGCGATCAAGGGCTTTTTTTCCGCAAAGTTAACATTAGCTGCCGGTAACAAGCCCTTGATCAGTCAGCGGTAAATAACGATATGTCATTTTTTCCGGTAACAGTTCCCAAGCATTATTATTGCAATAATAGTGTTGGTGTTAGCCCACGGTCTAATTTATTGGTCAGCAATATCAGATGTGGTAGCTAGCTAACTTTTGTAAAGAGTAGGTAGGTTGAAATCATCTGGTTTAAGTTCTGAGACGTCGTCCTCGGTCCAGTCTGATCGTGTACAGATATAGTTTTTGTCAAACTAGGGTAACCCTGGTATATGTTGTGTACGTAGTCTGAATTGACGAAATTTATTTTCAATGAAATTCTCCCAAACTACTGCATACCTGGCTGCTTACAGTTATGGATATATAATAGTATCTGTCTATGGGTTTAAACATCTGGTTCAGTACATAAATACACCTAAAGTAATTTTTAAAATCGGGAAAGTGACAATATTCTGTCTTTGTATTAGTTAGGTCTGTCCCGAATGGCATTTTTGGGCTCCGGAGCTTCGCTAAAGTCGGGGGTGTGGGGTTACGTCTCTGTTATCGGCTGAACTGGGCTGCATCTAAAAGTACCTCTACGCTCATCTGCCAGTACTTTGGGTTAAAAGAACAAAAGCAAAACAAAAAGCTAATGAAAGTGCTTATGTAATATAATGTAAAAGATGGCAGACAATGGATCTTTATAACCATTTGCGGCGTATAGCCTACACCATCCCGCAGAATGTACTACATTTCCATCACTGATGTGAGATCAACTAATAGTTTTACCTGTTACTCCGTTAGAATTGTTGGAACTACCGAGGAGCACTCAGTTCACTCTAATTATTCAGTGGTGTTACAGAGGGATGCCTCGTTACCTCATAAACGATCTTTGGCTAATAGCAGTCAGCGGTGTTTTCTGTTTATCCATCAGGCATCAGCTGCAGCCAGGTCACAAACCTGACAGCAGCGAGCTTCATTTAGTCCTGTCATCAGTTTCAGTCACTGAGTTAAGGGTGGTTAGCGATAGCTGATAAGATCTTAACCAGAAACAGCAACAATCAATGGAATCTGTGCAAGTGAGTGAGAGAGAGTTTTAAATGACATGCTGGCTCCCCATCATGATGCCTATCACCCCTAGTAAGTACCAGCTAGCAGACCAAGCTGTTTCCATTGTGTTCGCTTTCCGCTTCATCATGGGACTCAGACTGCACTGAAATTCCCTTCTGTCTGGAATATTCCAATACTAAAATTCGAATTTCAGAATAGCCGAATATTTGGGTCTAGCCCTAGTATTAGTGGAACAGTTTATTTTCTATGAACTGTGTCAGCACCCTCAGGTGGAAGATCTTAGTTAAAGTATGTATGGTACACCTTAGAAAAAAATCTTTATTTCTGTAAGTAATACTTACTGTCTACTTTTATTTTAATAGTCAAACATGGTCACTTTCACCATTTTGGCACGTGTACAGAAAACCCTTATTTGCCAACAGCAGAATTTCTTCATTTGGTTTTGTTGATGCGGTGACAAGAACATGTACTTTGGCTTCAGGAAATATTGACCCTTTCACTTTCTGTACACCTTGTTTCCAATTTAATTTTCAGTGGATAAAATTGCCATTTCTGCCCATCAGTCAACACTCAATAACCCATAATAACAAAATGAAGAGATATTTTTGGAATATCAGGTGATTTAATCCAAGGCTTTTGAATATGGCAGACTTTTTCACTTGCTCAGTTTTCAGAATCTCATCATCTTGGTCATCAGCATCTACTGCACCTTGCGAAAGTGTTGTTCTTTTGTCAGAGGTGCTTGCACCCCGCAGAGACCCAAATAAAAGTGCTGTTTCAGAGTACAGCATCATTAAGCTTGCTAAATCTGAAAACATCTCTACTTTTTGAACTTTTGTCCAAACAAGCCTGACTATTTTCACACCTAAAACTAAACTCATTGAAGTAGATAAATCTGAAAACACCAGGCTCCTTTTTAATGTGCATCAGGAAAACTTGGCTCTTCTAAAAGGGTCACATCTGCCTCCTCAGTCATGGTTGGATGCAGGTTAGCAGTAATTTTAAGAAGGCTGCTTTTCTCTTTGTGTTTCTGCCAATACAGCCAATTACAAAGTGCAGATATCATTATTTACCTGTTTTTACTTTTGTAAGACAACATGGCAGCATGTAATTTGATCAATGATTTTAGTACAGGAGTGAAAAAATAACTGTTCTTAACACCTAGAATTAACAAGCCATGATTGAATCACTACTCTCACACTCATTCATTTGTTTGTCAAAAGAAAAATATGTCCGTAAGAATAAGTAAATAGCAAATCTAGCAATGCTCAAAAACAGCAGGAGGTGATGAAGACCAGCTGAGACTGACTGAAAGAGGAGGAAGAAGAAATATATAGCCATGTTGGCTTTATGCCATAATGCCTTTCACATTACTATTATTACATTTAGACTAACACGTAAGTTGCTAAATGTTGTCTAAAAACAACTATGTCCACAAGAGCTTCACCTAAATAAAATTTGACTCTAATATCAGAAACGGTCTGAAACCTGAGCAAAGCAGCTTTTATTACTTGAGTTTCTGATACTTGTTGTTATTGACATATTTTAATTTCTGCCTAAAAGGGTTTAAAACTTGGCTCTATTCATTTCTGTCCTAGAGCATGTTCGCACATGAGAGCACGTTGAAGTTTTGTTTTATATCTGTTACCATTGTTAAATTCGAAGTTGGTCAACTTACTCCTAAATATATCAATATACATCTAATATTAGTTACCCATTTCTACAGTATTTACTTATTTTAGGTGGACCTGAGAGATATTACATGTTATTATACCCTTGAAAAGCCCATAAGCCTGTCTTAACAGCATAGTACATGGGCAGCAACATCAACTATAGATGTGACCCATCCACATTATACACATTTTTTATCTATTAATGTTAATATATTTCTGTGTTGTGGCATGTTACATGAAAATTATGTCAGTGACTTGTAAGCGGTGTTTGTGTAGGGCCAAATTGGCACCACACTGGATCAATACTCTGCATCAATAAATAGATACCCTGAGTTGATAAATCGATAACAGGAGGAAAAGTTACATCAGTGCATATAGGCCTCCAATGATAAAATACTAATACTTGCTGATTATTTTATCAAAGATTTGCCTGGGTTTTCATGCTTACAAACAAGCTCCCAGCTAATTGCTTATAAGTGTGATAAGTGACTTTTCTCAGCCTTTTTCTCTTACTCATCAGGCATGTATTGACATATCGGAAACCAAAGCTATTCACTGATGGCTGGGCAGAGTGCTCATCTTTGCATTCATTATTCAAAGGATGAACATGCCACAGCTGCTCCATAATTAATGTACTCTCCTCTGGCTTAACTTGTTTAAAGAGAGCATGGCTGTGATGCTAAAAGGAAGTACAGAGGAGCAGTGTATTGTGGACCACACTGTAAAAATGCTGACCTGAGGGTAGATACCGGATCTAGGCCAATCATTTTGGTACACTATTGGCTGCTGTTTACTGCTAACCTTGGAAAAAGTTTGCAAAATAGAAAGGTATAAGTTGTTGTAATTTGTCATCAAGAATAAACTGAAGGTGGTAATCTAATTTAGAATGTATTAAATCATCTGTTTCATTTTACAGATGGATTCATACAGATTAAGAAGCAGTTGATTAAGCCAAATTACTTATATATATATTTTTTTTATCAGTATATGGGAGAAGCATCAGTTCCTCCATGTCTGACTCCATTTTGAGACACAGAGACCAGCTAGAGATTAGGAAGGGTCCTGTTGAGACAGGTGAAGTGAGCAAGCCCAGGAAATGGTAACACTGCTGGGTGTGCTACTGTCCACACAATTTTATCACAGGCTCTGACAAGCCTTTTGGCAATGAGCCTCCTTTCTGTCTCTGTTCTTCCCTCCCTGTGTCATTGCCTCTGGTGCCAATTTGTCAAATCAGTCTTGACCCAACGTGTGCATAAATCACCGAGTGCCTACTTGACCCTAACTAGAGCTGTCAGGTACTGTTAGATCTGGAGCATCTTACTTTGATTGATTTCCAAAAGGTCAAACATGAGCTTGTCAGTGACACTGTCAGGCTAGTTTAAAACATGTCACTAATTGTTTCCTTTCAGTAAGTTTCCTTTCCTTTGTTTTCTCTCAGTAAGTGCTAGAGCTCTCACCTGTCCATTGAGCTGTGTATAATATACAGTAATTCAGGTGTAGTGTCTGTATTTCTATGCCCATTGGGCCTACAGGGCATCTTAGTTGGAACTCTTGTTACGTTCAGTTAAATCATCTTTCCTTTGAGTTTAACTAGTGGCAGGGTGATGGGAGTTTATGTGAAGGTTTAGACCTCAGCATCACAAGTATTCTTGTTTGACATGATGTTGTGCTTTTTTCCAGTCCAAAGTTTTGCAGACTTTCATTTTACTAGCACCGTGTTGCTACTACACTTCGGTGTGCATAAAGTTTTTTTTTCCCCTGTTGGTAGCATCACCCATTACTGGTTGCATTACATTGTGATTGTATTTTTCAGATACTGAATATGTAGGTTTGGTGTGAAGCCACATCATGACAGGGGAACTTCTGTGATTTCAGGGTTTCTCTGACCAGGTGTATTTTTGCTGTTGTCCACAGGAGACAGCGGCAAAGTGACGACAGTGGTAGCCACGCCCGGCCAGGGCCCTGATCGCCCGCAGGAAGTGTCCTATACAGACATTAAGGTTATAGGAAATGGCTCCTTTGGAGTGGTCTACCAGGCTCGCCTCCTCGACAGCCAGGAGATGGTGGCAATTAAGAAAGTTCTGCAAGACAAGAGGTTTAAGGTATGATTAGACCGGTGTACTCATTCTGATAATGTTTTGGTGGCTTTTGGTAGATGCAGATGTTTAGATTTTTTTTTTTTTTTTTTTTTATTTCACTTTGTGGATTAGAACATGATGATCCTCAGTAGTTGTCCTGAATTAGCTGTATCATTTTCCTATTGGTCATATTTTTTGCACAATTCACACTGCTGTTTTCTCCTCTTCCCCCCTTTCTTTTCTTTTTTGTAGAATAGAGAGCTGCAAATTATGAGAAAATTGGACCATTGCAACATTGTGAGGCTACGTTACTTCTTCTACTCCAGTGGAGAAAAGGTGTGTATACACCAGTGGCTTAACTGGCGACGGTGCAGATGGTGTGGTGCGCTGGGGCCCAGCAGGTCTCAAGGGCCCATGCGGGAAGGATTTTAATGGCTGCATTAATGTTGCCTATTGCAGGAGGCCCTCCATGACTTTGAATTGTATCATACAGTTTTCAAGCTGGCCCTTTATTGATAGCCACATACTAAGTTGTGACAGCTAATGTGAAAGCTATATATACCACCTTCTGATCATTGGTATAACACTCATGGTTTTGAATCATAGCCTGTTTTATGTGTTTTGTTGGTGGTGGTGGTGATCATCATAGCCTATTGTGATGTGTGTGTGTGTGTGTGTGTGTGTGTGTGTGTGTTTTTTTGTTGTTGTTGTCATCCTTATTAAATGTTCCCAAAATGCATGTTTTATTAAAAATAATTATTTCTATCCACCACCTATTTAATTTGGTTTCCTTCTTCTTAAAAGTTAAGAAGAAAGAAGGCTTGCTGGGAAATGCTAATTTATTTGTGCAGTGACCTTGCTCGCTCTCATTTGTATTAACTTGCGTGGGCATCATGATGTCAATTATTTTTTTCAACGGTTCAACCAACTTCTCATCAAGAAGCGAGTGTTCTTCAGCAAATAGTTAGCAGCATAATGTTTAGAGAGCCCAAACAAGGAATTTGGATTTGGATTTGAGCAGCGTTGCTAATGACTTTGCTGAGTGCAGAGCCCATAGGATGAACTTCTAATGGGTGGGTACAGGCTTCTTAGTTATAGAGTGGGATAAGGGATTTAAGTCTACAGTATGTTGGAAATTGCACACCTACTGTAATCTGTGTCTGTAGTAACATTTTGGCTGCTGGTGCCTTTATGTATGTTGAATTTTCATTCTGTGTAGATCCTTAAGTTGCTGTGTTTTTCCTGTTGGCTATTTGTTCTGTGCTTATCAACATACAGTGTAAACTACCTTTGTGCTGATTTGTTACTGTAGACTGGCTGAATATTTCGGATGTTTTATAGTTGGAGAAATTAGGCTGTGGTGGTTAGAGTCCAGGCTAGGCTGTTGATTAGCCGCTGTCTGTGGTGCTGAGCAAAGGCTGGCTTTCAGGATGGGACTTGCATGGTGAGCCTCTCCATGCAGTTGTCTGGAATGGTTTTGTGTGTGTATGTCTGCATGCATGTGCGCAAGAGCATGCCTGTGTGTTTGGGATGTGGGTAGGGCATAGAAAAATATTTTTTCTCCGGGCCCCATTACAATTATGTTACGCCACTGGCGTACACTGACTTTGATCTAGTAGGAATCAAGTTTCCAAATGGAGCACTCTCTCTCCACACCCTGATACTTAATGGTGCATGCATCAAGGATGATTCATAGACGTGTTCTGGACAAACAGACTTAGTATTTATTGAAACATGATATCAATTCAAGAGTCCCATGTAATTTATTTATGTTAACAAGAGGGCACAGCAGACCATATCTGTTTCCTTAACTGACCTGTTGTTTTCCCTGATGTTCACCAAGGTTAGCTACGCTAGCCATTAGCCATGCATTAAATTAGCCACACTCTGATAGAACGCCACTCTCTGTGAATTTACATACAAAGAAGAAATGAATAACTGAGACACTGGTTTTCATTCTCATTGTGTTATCAAACTGTCAATCCTATACCGTCTATCGAACTGAATCATGAGCTGGTTATATTGTTACACCACTATAAACCACTGTAATCACTGTTTAACTGTGCTGTATTTTAACTCTACTGCTGTAAAGAGTAGAAGTTCATATGATACACATCAGGAATATAATGAAAGCTTTTATTGTTATATATTAAGTACTGTGCTGATGTCAGTGCTCCTGAATTTCATCTCCTTTGTTGAGTCAAGCTGTTTACACTTCACTATGCCTTAGTAATGCTTGAATAGCAGGCTAAACAGTTGTGCTTAAATGCATAAAAATTGATGGGTTTTATTGCTTATAAAGTGTAATTGCAAAATCACTGAATGGCATCAACTGTACCTGTTAAGTCACTGTTTGCAGCAAATGTTCATTTAAGTGTAAACCATAAGATAAATGTTTCATTTCTTATTATTTTTCATTGCATACAGCTTCAATAATCTCACATCTAATCCAGTGTTTATTAGTTTAGTGTAATGTTTTTGTGATGTAATAACCTCTGATTTGGATTGGTTTAGATTTCACTTTCCACTAGTTTCAGTCGTCTTTTCTTATGTTCCTCCTTTTCAGAAAGATGAGGTCTATTTGAATCTGGTGCTGGACTTTGTCCCAGAGACAGTGTACAGGGTGGCTCGGCACTTCAACAAGGCCAAGACCACCATCCCCATCATCTATGTTAAGGTGGGTAGACATACAGACACATGTGGATGTGCTCCTGGGCATTTTTCTCTTGCTGCTTACACCATAGCATGAAAAGGTGACTTCAAGTTCAGTTGTTCAGCGATGGCCTACTTCTTTTCTGTATACACCATAAGTTGAAAAATGCATTTACAATCTAATACTGCATTCCTTTTTATTGGGAAGGTCTGACATCCAGAATGCCAAACAACATTGCCTTCATGTGCTATTGTTTTTAGGAAGCCCCTCAAACAACAGATGTTGTGCTCTTAGACAAACGGGTACTTTACAAGTTGGAGAGTTGTTCCTCTCTGGCATAAAGCGGGTGCTCGATGCTTTCGTTTGAAGGGCACGGCTGTGAATATTTCATTCTAAGATGATAAACTGTTTAAGGCTTTATCTGCAACTGTGACGTGGAATATGGCTGATATGTTAATTTGTGTCTGATTTGTACTTTTTGCATTAGGACATAGTCACTGGTTTCCATGGTAGGTCATTATCTCACTCTGTGTTTCAAATAAAACAGATTTAAATCTTCATGTTAGTCTTTTAAATTTAGTCTCACTATTTATTGTGCAAATTTTTACAGAAATCAGTGGAAATGGGATTTTTTTTTTCAGTAATTGCCTGTGAAAGCAATAAGTATGTTTGTTTGTTTTGCATTGACTATGTGCTGTTTAAGAATCATGAAGGCATAAAGGGAAATTCAGCCCTATGGGGATTAATCTGTTTGCACTGCACTTGGGTCCCTGTCTCAAAGGGTGCTCATTTTAGAGGGAGTGTTTGTGTGTTTACTGCGTCTGTAGCAGCAGAGAGGACATTATAGCTGTCTCATGGCCCATTTCTCTATCTCAGCCTGCTGCTCTCCCCTGTGGCTTTGAGAAGCATACTGATTTCTCC